ACTAAAATATACTAACTAAAACTATCAGTGGAATTTATCTAGATTCTAGCGATAAAATTTTTAAATTCAAAAGAACAATTCTAAATTGAAAAATTTTTAAAAACCATATTTTTAGACGTTCTAGAGCAGAAAGCATCGATTAGTTGTAATTTTCTGGTATATACGAGTGCTGCGTTTTATATTTCGGGATTTTCTTAAACTAGTCCTGCCATCTGGCGACTAACGTTTTCATAGGGAAGTTGGACAATTTAAGGTTAGGTTTAGTCAGTTAGGTTTTGGCGAAAGAGTGTTGTTTGTGTTTTTCGTCATAAATTACAACAATTGTGACGGTTAAAAATGGAAATTAATCGGGATCATTTCCTTGCAATAATTTTTCGATGAACTTAATTCAACTTTTGGAAGACTACTGTTTATCGCTGGTTTTCGGACTTCAATCCTGGTCGTAGTTTTCTTAAGGATATATACATGAACATTTGGCCGCCAAAAAAGTTTGTTCGCGTTGGATTCCACACAATTTGACATCAGCTCAATAACAATACTTTCAAACACGTCTATGATATCGTGACAGGTGATGAATCGTGGATCTATGCATATGAACCTCAAAGTAAGCAGCAGTCGACGGTTTGCGTCTTTCAGAATGAGACAAAGCCCGCAAATGTTGTTCGTGTGAGAAGCACCTCGAAACAAATGGTAGCCTGTTTTTTCAGGAAAACTGGCCACGTTGCAACTGTTTCTTTGGTGAAAGGTAAAACAGTCAATTCTTAATGGTACACAACCATTTCTTTGCCGAAAGTATTCGAAGAAATTAGAAAAACCAACCACCGATGACAAATCTGCTAACTCTCACCGATCAGTGCAAACAAAGATCTTTTCGAGCATTAAAAACGTTGATTTGATGAGCCAGCCACCATATAGTCCTGATTTAACACCTATTGACTTCTTTTTATTCCGATACATTAAGAATAAATTACCTGGGCAACGATTTTTGACACCAGAAGAAGCGATTGATGCATTTAAAAAGCGTGTTTTGGAGGTGCTCTACTCGATGTGGAAAAAGTGCTTTGATGATTGGTTTTATCGAATGCAAAAGTGTATTTTGAGAGCGAGTAAAGTCATATTTGTTGGTAGCTTTTTAAGATATTGAAGTATGTGCTTTGCTTGAAAAGGATTTGGTTTTTGTGTATTCCGAGGTTCAAATATCTAGTTTATATTTAATATATGATATACCTAACCATAACCATAAGTAGCACCTTTTTGAAGTACACATACAAAAAATGTTGAGAAGGGATATTCAATACGCGCATGGGCGAGTAATTCCAAAACTATCATTTCACATCGCTTTTCGCCCAATAATATCTTGCCAAGTTTAACAATTCATCAACTGGTTAGATAGTTTGAATGTGGCATTTTTCTGAGCAGTATTTTATCAAAATATGACTAAATCCCGTTCAATCAGAGATCATTGCTTGGAAAGAAAATTTCGAGGAGTGCAGGTAAAATTTCAAAATCAGTCTTATCGTGTAGGTCCAAAGGTCACTAACTCTATGAATCAAATTAGAAAACACTGATACTAGGAAAATGTTAATTTTAATGTTAATGTTAATTAGTAACAATATTAAGCAATTGCACAATAATAACTTTTCTATGTATAAAAAATAGCACTTGCCTAGATTTTGATGTGTAATTTTCAATATATTATCTTAAATACTGAACACACTCACTCACTATCTGACTGTTAACATGTAAATCTTCGTTTACAGTCCTTTTTACAGCGAAAATCTAACATTCTTATTAATTTTGAATCAAGTACAATATTCATAACACTATGTTCTTTAAGTTTCTTTCAAAACTGCAAAAGTTACATTGGTTTTTTAATCTATATAAATCGTAAACCACATTCCGAACTTCCATTTCCAGCTCCTCAGTATTTGGCTTTCTTAGTCTTTGGTCGGTATTATATATTATAATTTTCAGAAAAATGTTTTTTATTATTCATATTGTCACTTCAAGATGTAAATTAAAACTCTTTAAAGCCGGTTAATATTTGAAGCTTATCTTTATCTTACAAATTTTATTTAAGCAAGAGATAAGAAAAACAATCGTTGATAAATCCTGAGACGCACGATAAGACCCATTTTGACAATACAGGTTGGTCCGTAATGAATGGGTCATACCGTAACCGTAGGTTGTAGACCAGACAGCAAATCAAATGCTTTAATAAAATGTTGCGCGTTTAAAAGATACGATAGATTTATTGTTTATTTTATAATTTTACCCGTTTTGGTGAAAATAATGTAAAAATTTGGAAGAAGTGGTGTTTATGTGTGAGAGAAATCTGAATCGAACCTTAGTTGTTAGGCTGCCTGTAGATGGCGCTAGTTGCACACTTTCGATGAAATATTTTCACTATAACTTTTTTACAAAAAATTTTTTCTGCAATTTTGGATGAAATATCCGATACATTGACTGTTTCTAAGAGAATAGTATATTATGCAACAAGTGCGGTGAACGGCACTTGAGTCACAAGTTTATTTGGCACGAGTGGAGCGCTGCGGAGCGAGTGACTAAAAAAGTTTACCAAACGTGTTACATACTATACTTTTTTTGCGACAGTTAGTTCTTCGGTACATTTTTGCAAAACAACACGAATACACTCACTGAAATGACCGATAGAATTTTTCAAACAGTTTCAGTCAAGCTCTGGACAAGCCAACAGGATAATTAGCGAAACGTCAGCAATTTCGACTAAGCAAAAACCGACGCAGGAGGAATCCAGAAGTTATCTAAAAAGCGACGGATAGAATTGACAAACGTCAAAATTCAAGCCGTGCGGTAAAATCTCCGAAAACATCAGATTGCTCCCAAACCAACGCGGTAATATAATAAAAAACTCACGTGGTAAAGTGGCGCTTCCCGCGCGCCAGAATGGTGTATAATTAGGTATTTTACAGAAGAGATTACGATTCGATTACAAACTGAAGTAGACTTTATTTGTTTGACTAAAAAATCCAAACAAATAAAACCCACTTTTCCTCGACAGAAGGTGTCGTGATGCTTGGTTTATTTACCCAAGTAGGATTTGACAATTTAAAACAAATTAATAAACACGAGAATTACAATAATAAATCAATATTTTCAGTAACAAGTCACAGGAACTATCTATTTCAGTAACTGAGCCAAATGTCTACCATTAAACTGAATACATTTCCTTATTCCCTTATTTAAATGCTATCTTACTTTGAACCAGGTGCCTCCAAATGGCATCAACTTCTTCATGGATCTTTATTATCAACTAAGCCTTCCAAGCTACCCCAAAGGTAGAAATAAATGTCAGTTCAAACCAATTACGGGACAATATGTAAAAAACAATCGCAATAGAGATTCAGAATAAAAAATACAAACATTACAGAGCTGATGTTGAACCGTGATAGTATCTTCGTAGGAAGAAATAGATCTATAAATTTTTAAATCATCTGCAAATAGGAGAAAGTCACATTTCATTTTATCAGACAGGTCGTCGATAGAGGTCGAAAATAATAATGGTTTAAGATTAGCTTACTTTGGCTACCTGTGGTTCGAGTGTAATTCAGTATATCTTCTAGCTGCGGAATGTCCTTTGTAATTACTTTGTTCATACGAGCAAATCATGTCTCGTATTTTAAAATTTATTAATATAAAAATAACGGAAACAATACTTTGGTAACTTTTGATATACGTTACTTGTTACAAAACGTCTGGATTCTTCCTGCGTCTGTTTTTGCTGAGTCGAAGTTGCTGACGTTTCGCCAATCATCTTGTCGGCTTCTTCACAGCTTGACTCAAACTGGCTCGCATTTTACTCTGTACCTGCTTATATATTGTTTGAGAAGGGCGGAGCTAAATGAGAGGAGATGGGGGCATAAACACCGTCTCGGATGACTGATTCCCGCGGTTAAGATTGTTAGGTTGTTTATAGATTTCTATAGACTCTCGGATTTTTCGGTGGCAGAAAAATTGATTACATGCAAGAGTTTTAGTTTTATCGGATAAAATTTTTTGTCCGGTTTCGTGATTGCGTGATGAGTTTATTTGTCTTAGTCGTAAGACCCTTTCGTGTTCTTTGAGCCCAGTTGATATTTTTCGTGCTCTCTCTCCAATGGATTCTTTGCCGCATATGCATTCCATGTACCGGACATAAAATGTTATTTGATAAAACTAAAATTCTTGCATGTAATCAATTCGTCTACCAAAGAAAAATCCGAGAGTCTATATGGGAATCAATCATCCGAGATGGTGTTTATGCCCCCGCCCCCCGTCAAACAATATATAAGCAGGTAGAGAGTAAAATGGGAGCCATTTTCAGTCAAGCTCTGAAGAAGGCAACAGGATGATTGGCGACACGTCAGCAAGTTCGACTCAGCAAAAAACGACGCCGGAGGAACTCAGAAGTTTTGTAAAAAGTATTACAGTAGCCTGTGGAAGTTTCTTAGAAAAATATTGATATCTGTTTTTGTTGAAAACTATATGTAAGTCAAAGTATTCATGAATTAATAAATGACTCATGACGGTTGTATCGAAAACTAATCGTTTTTTCTATATTAAACAAGAATACCTTTTTAAATTTATATTGAAGTATTCCATTATAATGTATGTAACTAGCACCCTCTGCAAGCAACCAAGAAACTAAGACCCAAACTCCTTACCACAAAAATCTCCATGATCCAAATTTCCAAGTTATTTTCTTCAAAACTGTTCAAATTATGGAATAAACAAGAAACTGAAAATTAAAATATATATAGACGTCTAGTCTATGGTTACTCTATTCATTACAGACCACCCTGTATATGTACAATTATTTTGTTTTACTGAATACCGGTGCTACTTTGTCTATTTTTTTAAACAAAAACGCATCTTAATTTGACGATCACAAAATTACCATTAAATGTTGAGCGCACGGTATAAAAGAATTTATTAACTAACGACGTGAATAATTGATAAAAATGTTTGGTTACATTCTGTTATCGATGGTCCAAACACATTTCCCTGCAGAGTTCCAGGCTGAATGCATATACGAATACGTATACTATGTGATCTTATCAAACTTTCGCCGCCACAGTGCGGTTAAACGCGAAACTGTTGGTTAAACAAAAACATTTAAGGTACGTGAGTGTCGTGCAAAGTCATCCTAAATCGGCCGTTACGTAAAGAAAACGGCTTTCGCATGATATTTTGGTTAATACTGGTGCTGGCGTTTGTCTTGTACTATATCCTGATAAAACCACATCGGTTTTGGAAGGACAAGGGCGTAAGACAGGGGAAGCCATGGATACTTTTAGGAGATACTTGGGGCACTATGTTCGGTCTCATGGACGTCGCCCAGTCAATTAAACATTTTTACGATAAATTTCCGGGCGTAAGGTGGGTTTAAGTTACATTCACTTGCATTTTGATGCGCAACCAGAAAAAGTAAATAAATACGCTTTTGAGAGGCATTTCAAAATATTTTAAAAGATAATAATCGAAAATTTATAATTACATTTTTATGTCTTTATTTTTCGTAGAAGCAGCTAAGAGAAAATGCTGAAAATTATTTTTTAAATTTTAAAATGGCCACTAAAGGGCGTAATTGTATTCTTGAATTTTAGATTCCGTTTTTGAGAAATAATCTTAAATTTCTAGCTAACTACAGTTGGCATAAATTCAATTCTCGTGGTAGAATACTTTTTGCTCTACCTGTTAAAGAAAAGTGGTAGGGGTTGTCCGAATATTTGGCCAAATAAATGTCGATATCTTCAGAATGGCTGAACACATTTTGTCAAACTGAGCTGATTGACTTCGGTTGCTTGTATCGCCGCCAGATCGCATTTTGCGACATCTCTACAAATAAAATTAATTTTTTCAAAAAAATTAAATGCAACGATATCACTTTTATCGCAAAAAAAATCCAAATGAGGGTCTAACACTTTAATTGAAAACTGCACTTTCATATTTCGTACCTAACGTATAATATCAGTAAAAGAAATAAAAACAAAGTAATGTCGCCATTTTCTTCTTAAACAACACTTTATACACACTTAATTCATATTCAGGCCTATTTTGTGAAAATACTACCGTAAAAATCATCAAAACCTATTCACGATCTGTCAGCGGCCATGTTGATTGTTGAATGCCGCATATCATGCATGCAACATATCAAGTATAAATACGTGCGATTGGCAAAAAAGCATACTTGAAATTTAAAATGTTCGAATTTCACTTGGTTAGATTAATAATAATCAATCATATTGAATGAGTTTCCATTATTATTGACATTATTTTAAACAGAATTTTTGTACTTTAACAGTAAAATGTATATTTCGCTAAAAGAACGAATATTAGTATTTGATAATGCAGTTTTCACTGAAGTATTAGACCCTAATTTTATTATCTTTGGTAGCAATAAATGCGACACAAAAAACATTCTACAAAAAAAGAACCAAATTTATCCCAACTTTAAAATTGGCCACCCGGTGGGAATAACGTGATATTAGTGTTTTCTGAATTACCGTTTTTTGAATTGTTTTTTTTTTGTATTTTCATATTTCATATTTCATTTATTTGAATGAAAATACTGAACTTTTTGGTTTTGTACTCGAGGAAAATTTCTTTTGTATTGTCGCATTGCTCGCATAACAACGTTCATATAATATAATATTCTGTAGACACCTACCCTATATTCTTAGCTTGACTTGAAACGACCCTTGAAAGAGCCATTCCCATGTTTTCAAATTTTTCTCTTTTTTATTAGCTTTTATTTATGTAGGATATTTATAACTATCAGAATGGTTGGAACCACATTTATCCCTTCTATATTCAAAAGAGTCTATAGTCCTGAAGAATGAGGAGACAAACGGGTTTTCCATTTAAAATTTGTACAGGAATGAACTTGAGCCTTTGTTTATGTAGATTTTAATCACTTCAAGGTAGTTTTTATAAAAAATCTGCATAAAACAAAAACACGCAGGGCCAGTTAGCAATTTCAAATTAAAATCGTTGGCAGATATTATGGAATTTATCAGTTTTTGAAACCGAAATTCGTCGTCAAGGACCCAGAGCTCATAAAAAGAATTACGGTCAAGGATTTCGATCATTTCGTTGACCATGTGGCGATGGTCGATCCCGAAGCTGATCCCCTGTTTGCAAAAAATCTGCTCAATCTAAGAGGTATCAGATTTTTATTAAATAAATAAAAAATGTTATAACCAAATTAATTTTTGCAGGTGATGATTGGCGGAACATGAGGTCCACCTTATCAGGATCGTTCACGAGCAGCAAAATGAAGGCCATGTTCGCATTAATGACAGATGCGGCCGAAAACTTTGTTAAATATTTTAAAAAACAAAACGAGGATCTTCTAGAGGTCGAATTGAAAGATGCGTTCACGAGGTATAGAGCGATTGGTTAAACCTCTTGAGGAGTTTTGCAAACACGCCTTTTAGGTTCACGATTGACGTAATAGCGACCACATCGTTCGGGGTTCAAGTAAATTCTCTAGAAGAGAAGAAAAACGAATTCTTCTTAATGGGCAAAGAGATAACTCACCTCAGTTTCTTTTTCTTCCTCAAATTATTAGTATTTTGGTTCTCTCCTAGTTTATTTAAGGTAGGAAAATAATATTAATTTTTTTCTAGTTTTTTTTCCAATTTTCCACAAAATGTAATATATATTTTGCCCAAAAGAGATGCAAGTATCAATAAAACAAACCTGTCCATTAATTTTCACTCTCCAATCTTTGCTCTTCCTAAATGAGCTTTTATCCCAAATAACAGTCAATATCATTTTCACGTGAAATGTACCTCATAAAATAAATAAACAAAATATCTGTGCTATAACTTCATTGACGTTTGAAATACGTCTTAAATTACCATTAAATAAAATAATTGCACTCTGAAACAAAAGATTAACATTCTACTAAGAATCGAGAATAGTTTTCATTTCTTAATTGAAAATATTTTATAACTTAAGTGATAAATCAAAACAAATTACAACAGTTCATTGCACCTACAGCATTTACTAACAGTATAGCTAGCATACTATTTTGAGTATATGGTGAGATAGACAATTTCCTTTGATTGTGCTATAGGTCATTCTTTGAAAGGGTTGGACAATTTTTGGACTGAATAAAAATTAATTTACTGGGAATAAAAAAATGAAGATCGTAACTGATCAAGTTTATAACCAATATGGTATACATAGCATCACTTATCCAAGTCTTTTACAAATAACATGTCACCATCGATCGATGTCACTCCACGTGACCGGACGTCACTCTGTTAGCTGGGATTACTCTAGAGTCTATGCAATGAGGTTTTTAAAAAAAAATGCTTTTATTTTTAACACACTTCATATTGTGCAAAATTCATGGCATTTGTACCGTTTTCTTTCTAACTTTCATACTTTTTGTTTAAGCGTTTTAAGTTTCGAATGTTCAGAAAGGCCGTCACCGATTTCTTCACCAGAGTGATAACCGATACCATTCGAACTCGGGAAGCAAAGGGAATTTACAGGCCCGACATGTTACAGATCCTAATCGAAGCAAAAAAAGGTGCGGAAAAAGAAGAAACTAATATCGGCGAAGTGGGGTTTGCCGCTACGAAAGAGTTCATTCCTGGTGAGAAATGCGTGAATACGAGGATATCGATCAATTTGATATTGCCCAAGTTAACGTTTCAACCTATATTAGGCCACCCTCACGATTAATTAAACTATTACCCAAAGTCCAGAATAGTTGATTCATAGAGTTTACACAAAACTGAGAACACAATTGCCAAAGCTTAGTGTTTTGTAAATAGTCAGGATATTTCACAATAATCTTTCATTTAACAGTCTACTTTCTGTTTTGCTAATAAAATGTGTATTCTTACATTATTTTTTTGAAATTATAATTGTACTTATATTTATTTTACTCAGCACTAAAGATAACCTAATATAGATCGAACCAATTTAATGACTATTAAGATTGATCTGGAAATTCTTATATTACAGACCAACATTCAACCATACAACACTTTTGTAACTGTGATTACTGAAAAGATCTACCAATGTTGTTATAAAGTCGCTTTTGTTTGCAGCAAAATCTAAAATAACCAAAGAACTCACCGATGAAGATATCACCGCGCAAGCGGTCATATTTTTCTTTGCCGGTTTTGATTCGGTGTCGTCTGCCATGACATTCGCCACTTACGAATTAGCCACCCATCCGGATGTTCAGGAACGCTTAAGGCAGGAAATTCAGGAGACTCTGAATGCCTCTAACGGCAAAGTCACTTTTGAAGCCCTTACTTCTATGAAATACATGGACATGGTTTTATCAGGTACTGCTCATACAATTTTCAACTATTTATTCATCTATTTAAACAAAAATAATATTTGGAGCTTAAAACGTAAATACGTAATAAAACACAATACAATTCTTTTGAAATCTAAGAAGGCTCCTTTAAGACATATTAAAAAAAGAAATATTCAAATATTAAAGTTTTTGAAATATATTCTTCTTCTTGACGTGCCATCTCCATCAGCGGAGGTTGGATATCACAGTGGCAAATCTCTCTCTGTCTTCAGCAGATCTTATGAGCTCTTCGAAGTCCATGCCAGGCCACTGACGTATATTCCTCAGCCATGACAGTTTCTTCCGACCCAGCCCCCGCTTGCCTTCGATCTTTCCCTTGACGATGAGCTGTGCGTATCGGTATTTGTCGTTTCTCAGGATGTGACCCAGGTATGCAGTCTTACGGACTTTCACAAGCTTGAATAGTTCTCGTTCAGTTCCCAGCCTGTGCAAAACTTCTTCGTTCGTGGTATGCGATGTCCATGGTATTTTAAGTATTCTGCGATATGTCCACATCTCGAAAGCTTCTAGTTTATTAATGGTTTGTGTTTCTAGTGTCCATGTTTCGACTCGGTACAAGAGAGTAGACCACACATAACATTTTGAGAGTCTTAAACGCAGCTCGAGGTTGATTCATGAGTCGTAGGAGCTTTCTGAGTCGTACAAAAGAGTTTCTGGATTGTTCTATTCTCGATCTTATTTCTGTGTCTGCATCTAATTTGTTATCTTTCCAGCATCCCAACTATTGAAACCTGCCCACTTCTTCTAGTATCTTTCCATTTATTTGTATTGGTTATGGGACATTCTTTGATTTTTTAATTACCATTACCGTAGTTTTCTTAACGTTTATTTTCATATCGAACTCTTCGCAGGTATTGCTAACGCGGTTGAGGAGTCGCTGCAAACCCACATCCCAGTCGGCGATTAGAATAGTATCGTCAGCGTATCTATTTATGTTGTTATGCTGTTTATGTTCACGCCATTAACTTTGACTCCCTCTGAGATGTCTGCCAGGGCTCTGTCAAATATAAATTCTGAATAAAGGTTAAACAGCAAAGGGGACAAGACGCAGCCCTGTCTAACTCTTGGATCCCTCTATTCTGATTCTAGCGCTCTGGTTCCAATATAGGTTCTGTATTAGAGTATTGTCCTTTTCATCCAGGCCCACGCCACGAAGCGATTCCATGAGCAGATCGTGTCTCATTCTATCGAATGCTTTTTCGAAGTCTATGAAGCAGATGAAGATGTCTCGTTGTTGATCATAGCATTTTTGCGCTAGCACCAGTAGGCTAAACAAAGCCTCTCTCGTGCCCATTCCGCTCCTGAAGCCGAATTGGTCATCTCCAATGTTCGCTTCGCATTTACTAGAGATGCGGTTATGAATTATTTTCAGTAGGACTTTTAACTCATGACTCATTAAACTAATTAGGCGAAAGTCTCCGCAGTCTTTGGGGTTTGTTTTCTTTGGCAATGGTACGAAAATTGATTCTAACCATTCTTGAGGTATTTTGCCAGTTTCATAAATGCGGTTATAGAGAGCGACAAGCAGGTCGATGTTTGCTTCGCTTATTAGCTTTAAGATTTCGGGTAATATTTCGTCTGGCCCTGGGCTCTTGTTTGCCTTGAGTTGTTTTATCGCGTACTCTACTTCGGTTTTCAGAATACTTGATTCTTCCGCGTTCATGTCCGTAGGGCTCTGCTCTGGCGCCTTCGAACAGATTCTTGATGTATTTTTCCCATTCTTGTAGTTTTCCCTCTGTGGAGTCTAATAATTTTCCATCCGAGCTTAATATGTTGTGGACTACAGTTTTTCTGTTCGTCGCTGTAAAATCTTTCACTTTCTTATGTAGGTTGAAATGGTCATGGCGTCCTTGCAATTCCTCTATTTCCGAGCATCTGTCTCCTATCCAATGTTCCTTAGCACTTTTTATTTTGGTGCGGATTATTCTGTTGTTAAGATGTCTGTACTTATTTATGTCATTAGCGGCTTTACATTCCCTCCATGAGTCCATCAGATTTAAGATTTCCCCTGTCATCCACTCTCTCCTATTTATTTTAGGAGTTGGTTTCAGATTTGCTTCAACGGCCCCATTTAAGATGTCTTTTGTAGCTTTCCACTTGCTATCCATATCAGTGGTAACGGCAAGGTCCCGAGAGACATTTGCGAGGTGCTCGTTTAGTTCTTGACTTACTTTTTGTTTTATTGTGACGTCCCTCAGAAGTCCCACATCTGGTTTTCCTGGAGGTTTTGGCCTTTTAATGATTTTCCATTTTGGTCTCACTCTAGCTATAACAGGGCTCTGATCTGAGCCAATGTCGGCTCCCGGATAGATTTTGACGTTAGTAACTGAGTTGTGGAATCTTTTGTTTATAATAATAAAATCGATCTGCTTTCGGACTGTCCTGGTATTCGTATGTTGTGGTGACGTCCATGTGTAAAGTCTGCGAGGGTGATGTTTGAACCAGGTATTTGTTACAGCCATGTTGTGTTGTTGGCAAAATTCAATGAGCCTTTCGCCCCTGTCATTTCTGTCGCCCAACCCAAACTCGACAACCAAATCCGACACTCGCCCTTGGCCTATCTTCGCATTAAAATCTCCCATGATGACTGTAAGATCTTGTTTCTTTGTAACTTTTATTAACTCCTTCAATTCTGTGTACCACGCCTCAAGCTCATCTGTGGACTTATCGGCTGTGGGAGCATACGTCTGTATTATATTTATGTTCATTGGTTTTCCCGAAATCTATATTAGCAGGTTTCTGTCAGAGACCGGTAGAAAGTTAGTAACCGCCTGACTGTATTCTTTCTCCAAAATTACTCCTACTCCATTGTAGTGTTTGGAGTCATTGTTGCCGGAGTATTAAAGTATTTTATTCATTGCTCTGGTTATTCCTGAGCCTGGTCATCTAACCTCGCTCAAGCCAAGTATTTGGATGCCCAGTCTGTCCATTTCATGACATGCATTTGCAAATTTTCCTGTTTCAAACAGAGTTTTCACATTCCATGTCCCTATCTTAAATTCCATCTGTAAGGTTTTCAGAGTAGCCAACCCGGGGATTCTTCGCACCCCTTGGAGATTTAAGTCCTGCCGGGACTAGGGGCCATTAAATTTTGTTGTATTGCCATTGTGATTTTCTTGGGAAAGAAACACCAGAGTGGTTTCCCGTTGCCTTCTCTGGTTTTATATCAGCCGCTCCTAACATGGAGAACATACGCTGTCTGCAGCCGCCCACTTTGGGTCAGACGCTGCAGTTTCACCATATCTGGCTACCCTCACTTAGTTTAGTCTGTGGGTCAACACAGTGTACCGGGGTGTGGCGCTTGGAGCCAACAAGTGAGAGTTGGGTGTCTCGTGAGGGCCAGTTGTCAGAGGCCTCCGCCCTTCTACGAAGCTTGGAGTGACCGCCCCAAACAAAAGGTACTACCTCTCCGACACACCCCTACATATATAGTAATTAATGTGTTATTACAACAAACTGTGCACATTAAGTGTTGTTAGGGTTCAACCAAATAAACATGGACTTCATTTTTTGGTTAGTAACGATTTTGCTTGTTCTGTGAATGCATATTAATTCTAGGCGCTGACGTCACAAGACACGTGTTTTCAAAAAAATATATAAATAAAATACTCAGCTATTAATTTGCAAATTTTGAAGTGGCGATAGTCTTCAACTAAATGATATCCGCTATTAAATGCACCGAAGGTGTACAAGAATTATAGTATATATTGAACGTCAAGAGATTTCCCTGAACTGCTAATTTACTTTCACCTCCACAACGTTTGAAATCAATTTTTTAAAACGTCCTGTATGTAAAAATATCATATACGTATATAGGTACACATTCTTTCGTTTTATTGGTTTCAGAGTCTTTAAGAAAATGGCCGTCTTTCGTAGCACTGGGACGCGAATGTACAAAACCATATGTCATAGAACCCACACATCCCGAAGAAAAAAGAGTTGTGATACCGAAGGGAACACCTGTGCAGATACCTCTCTATGGTATCCACCACGATCCTAAATATTACCCCAATCCTGCAAACTTTGACCCCGAACGATTTAGTCCCGAAAATAGACACAAAATAACCCCTTACACCTATCTGCCATTTGGATCAGGTCCACGAAATTGTTTGGGTTCTAGATTTGCACTCTTGGAAGTAAAAACTGTAATTTTTTACGTATTAAACAATTTTGAACTTTTAGTCATCGATAAAACACAAGTCCCCATAAAATTGAGCAAAAAATTTGTAATTAACATAAGACCAGATAAAGGGTTGTGGTTAGGACTAAAGAAAATTGCTAAATGATAAAATAGTTTGCACCTTGTGTATTATTGATTTTTTTTATATTTTAATATGTGCACAATTAAATAAACTTCAGATTTTAATAAATCGTCCACTTTGTTTATTATTTTATAATAATTTTATTGGAATGATGATGTCAGAAATCGACAGACGGTTAACGCGTAATACGAACAACCTTATAGCACAGTATATTATTCCATGATCAAGTGGACTAACCATTTCAATCTAAAATCCGATAGCGAATTTTTATCACGTTTATTAAAATAGCAGTTGTTGCGGAGTATGTTGCTCTCGTAGCGATTAAAAAATTAAAATATTTTTAAACAGTGTACTCGCTGATCATGAAAGTAGTTTGACACTTGACCCCTGACATTAAAATGTCAAATTTGTTTGGCAATCAAAATATGGAGGGTGCAGGTGCTTACGGAGGTGGTAAGGCCGGCGGGGCTTTCGATCCTCTGAGTTTTATCCAGAGGCCGCATGTAATATTGCGCGCAGCATGTTGGGTAAGTTTAAAAATTAAGTTTTTCGCTTTCGTTTGAGTATTTTCCCATAGAAATATCTTCTTTAAAAAAATCAATGGAACTGGTCCTTGTGAGGGGGCGGTTATTGATTTTTTGAATTTCGAAATGGGTCACACAAATTTTGGGTAGCTAATTTTTTTTATGTGTAGTTTTATTGGCCTTATCTATCGGTTGATAAACTGTAAAAATGGAAATTAAAATTAACTTCGGGCCAATAGCAAATTTGCTTTTTAAAGATGTAAACAAAAGATGTAAGCGCTCTTTTAGATTAGAATTGTAACTTTTTGTTAGCTATTAAAATAATTAATAATGTAAATAAAGGCGTATCATTTAATACATAAATAAGTTCCAAATTAATGTTGCTTTTTAATGGATAAATTGTCTTAAATTTTTAGCTTTTTTCCATCATAGTATTTGGATGTATTTCATCACAGGGGTGGCAACCAAATAAGGATAACAAAATGGTCTGCCTGTATAATGAAGACACTAATGCTTGCAATTATGGAGTGGGTATAAGTGTGATAGCTTTTCTGGCCAGTTTGGTGTTTTTTGTAGGCGAGTATTTATTTGAACAAATGTCTTCAGTAAAGACAAGAAAGCATTATGTCTTGGCCGATCTAGGGTTTTCAGGTAATTTTAAGTAAATTTTTTCTATTCAAATTGCTCCAGCGGTTTTAATTTTGTTTAGGATTTTGGTCGTTTCTCTATTTCGTTGGTTTTTGTTATTTGGCCAATCAATGGAGGAAATCCGCCACCCCCGAAAATGGCATTGGAGTGAACAATGTTCAAGCAGCAATTGCATTCTCATTTTTTTCTATTTTTACGTGGGTAAGTAAAAATTGCTTTTTAAATCTTATTGATTTTGGAATTTAGGAGATGAGAGATTACTGATGCAATAGAAGATAAAACTGAACTTTTTCAGGGTGCCAGCGCTTTTCTGGCTTTTCAACGTTTCAGGCAAGGATCTGACGCAGCCTTCGCAACCAACTACGAGGCGGATAATGTAATGCCCACTTCTTACCCGTCATATCCAGGTGGGCCAGAAACGGACCAACATTATCAAGAACCTCCATTCTCGACTGGACCCAATTCAAGAGGTAAATTCAAAAAGATTTTACATAGAACAATTTATTTATTTTTTAATAGGGCCTGCGGATTTCCAAGCACCAGCATATTAACAAATAGGCAACTTTGTTAACAAGATTGTGCTGCAAAAAATTCCTGGTGTGTTCGACACACTCGCCAGGTCGTTTATTTGTACTTAGATTGTACATGCATTGTATTTAGAGGAAAGTATTATTTACTTTTACTGGCAACTATCCCTCGAATGATTATCCCCTAATTTATTTCATTCCTCAGTTGTGTGTTATTTGTTTTAGTAAATGTATAGTTTGCAAGATTTTTATACTTTGCATAATATAAAATAAAGTTAAGAAGATGAACCCAGAGTGTTGAAATATATGTATAGATAGTATTGTGCAATGTACAGTTCTTTAAGTGTCATAAATGTGTATATTTCAATCTGCTAATAGATTGCCAGAACATTTATCATTGTCTCCGGTATGTTACCACACTTTGTAGTGGCGAGAGAAGCTAACAAAGTTATGTAGATGTAGATTCGAGTAAGAAAATGAATTTTTGTCCACACCTGTTGCTAAAGATCAATGTGCTCACTCGAACACAAAATATAATAAGCAGCAAAATAGATCACTGGACTTGTTTTTTTAAACATTGGTGGACACGTTTTAGTTCAAAACCTTAAAAGTGTAATAATTTGTGATTTGTTTTTGTGATTTAGTTAGGTTAGAATGTTTCAAAAAATAGGAAAAAGGAATCTGTGTATTTAAAGTAGATTTAGAGTTAGTGCCTGTTGTATTTGAATAGGAGTAAAACAAAAAGATCAAAACCAATATCTTTCCATTCGCTATTTGTGGAATACGCGATATTATTGAAGAGTCTAATTATGACTTCATGCAAGATTACCTTACAAATATCTGTAGTAGATTGGGTCAAAAAAAAACTACAATGATTTATGAAAAATATAGGGATAAAACCGTTCAAATTAAAGAACAAAAATATCCTCAAAGTTTGAGCTCTTTATATTATTATTTGTATTTTCAATTTTTCCATTAGGTCAAAACAGCCAAACGATTGACTTAAAAATATTTATTTGTACATATTTTTGCAGGATATTGAATTGTTTACAATAAGCTTTTTTGATTTAACTTTCATTTTGGAATTTTGTAAGTAACAAATAAGTCAACATTCAAAAAAGAACATTATTTATTTTTATAAAGTTTCTTAATTTTTTTTTTGTTTATAAAGATATTTTTTTTAAGTTTTTGTTTTTGTAGGATATTCAATTGTTTACAATGATTTAACTTTCATTTTGGAATTTTGTAAGTAAGAAACAAGTCAATATACAAAAAAGAACAATATTGATTTTTATAGTCTCTTGGAAAATATATTGAGATCAATATTTTTACCCCAAGTGATTGGCTGTTTTTACCTCATATCAGGAACAAAAAAATGAAAATACAATTGTTACACCTTTTCTCATTATTGCTAAGAGCTAAAACTTTTTTTTGGTTATTTTTAATCATTTTATTTATACATTTTTTATTAAAAAAAAACAGTCGATTTTTTTGGCCTACTCAAATCCGTAGGTCCCTTAGACAACTCGGAGGTACTTTTAAAATACGGAATTTCAGGCAGCCATAGAACAAACACTTGATTTATTTAATTTAAATCTTTAAACGATAAAAAATTGGTCGAACAAAATACTCCGTGAATATTTGCAATAATTACTAGTACCTTATTTTCATATTATTTGTTACATTGATATGTTGCTATCAAGCTTCTTTTATTTAATTGTTTTATTGAAATACATATAAAGTTGTAATTATGTAAGTTACAAATAAATGTTATCAAAATTGAATTATTTCTTTCGTTGGAGGGACTTAAATGAAATTTCTGAAAATATTTAATTTTCATTTATTGGCTGCACAAAATGTCTACAAATGCAGAGGCAAGTATTACAGTTAAATGCTCCCATCACATTTAAAAATATGTGCACTATTTGTAAGGCTACTTTTATCACAGATTGCAATTGCAGTTTCATAATGGACTGACATTTTTTCCAACGAAAAAAGAAGAATGGGGTAATAGGGAACCACTCATTTTTATAGAAAATTCAATTTGATAGGGAAATGCAATTTTCAATCTGGAAATTACAATTTCCTAAATGGTGAAAATAATTCCAAATTTTCTTGGCTAATAAAAAATCAAAACATCAAAATTAATTGCCTAGAGTTGAATTTAATTCAAATAAGTGAACACAAACAGAGAGATCGAAAAACAAAAAGCATAATATTCACAAAAAAAAATTATGCCTTTGTAGCAGGATAATAATAACAATTACCTAAAGCTTTAAACTAAATCTAAATATTTTGTTTTAAAATCGACATTTTTATGGCATTAAAGGTGAAAATAAAAAATTGTAAAAACAAATGCACATAGAACCTTAGTAATATCACAATTAATCATTTTCCAGTTTCAACTACGAAAAAAGTTGGCAAGAAAAGGTTTGTGCATTCTGAAATAATTTATTCTGTACGGACAATGAGATAAACTACACAAATAAAAAGTGTACACATCTTAACATCGAAAATGAACAAAACTAACTATTCAAAAAGTTTAAATTTAAATTTTGTAAATCATAAGATAGAAAATAAAAGCTATGTCTATTAAGATCTACTTTGAGTATCGCTGTTACTTAAAGGCAGTGAATTTTTTTCATCTAACTTTCAGAGCAAAGTAACCTGACCCATGTTGGCAGATATTACCATTTCCATCACAGACTGGAAAACCACTTGCACATTAGCTGTATCAGTGGCAGTAGTAAAGTGGGGATATAAAACTTTCCTAGAATCACTATTTCTTAAAATAAATTTGTGCTGTATAAACAGGGCCCCCCTATCTACATCTTTATCTGGTCCTAAAAATACAAAAGAAGCTACTAGTACATTTCAAGAACTATAATGCAGCAATTAATATCTATACCTTTGTAATCAGGAAAATACAGTCTCAAATGTCTCTGTGAATAAACGATTTTCTCACGAAAAAGGTCAAATTTGTTGAGGAATAAAACAAAGGACGCTTCTCTGAAAAAAGGGTTATTGACTATTTGGCCAAATAAATTTAGACTTTCCTCTAATCTGTTAACTGTAGGATCTTCCTGCAATCAACCGACGTTAATTAAGGTTGAAGTTTAACGGACTGCATTACTAATTACTCACAATCAATGTCATATCATATCCACTGAGTGAAATAACAAATAATACAGCTCTAACATCATCGAAACAATAAATCCATTTACGCCTTTGAGATCTTTGTCCTCCGACATCATACATACTCACAATTATATCTTGAATGCGAAACTGGGTTTCAATAATACCTTGGGTACGAACTCTGGCTCTGAGAACATCTGTAGGATTTGGCACATATTTTGGATCACAGATTCGTTCCATGTTTTCAAATAAACTGAAAATACCCAAAATAATTATTGTTTAAATTGATAAACAAACCAGAAAGCTTACTATAAAGCAGAATCATTTAACTCATACTCATATCCCCTTGCTACTGCCAACCTAACTCCTCTATCAGACCACAAAGCTTGTAGAGATGCAGCTACATCAGGCAGTACTTGGAAACTCATATCAAAACAACTATCAGCAGCAAGCACGTTTTTAGCATGAATTTTATTTCTAATATATTCCAAGTTAATACGAAGTAAACCCATTCCTGCTAACACATATTTCATGGATGAAAGTAAATTATCTAATACTGTTGGCCGATAGCTGCTTAACTCAGCATGTGTAAATCCATCTGCGTGAATGATTTTCATCTGTTTAACCAAGGTACTTTTCCCACTTTCCCCCGCGCCTGGAAAGTATAACACCTTATTGATTATTTCACAATATATATATAAGGTGCAAATACCAAGGAGCAAAATTTTGATAACATTATTTTGTTGTTTTGCAAATTCACCAAGCTGTCGATCAATTTCTTCACTTCTTCTCTTGGCTCTTCCTTCTTCACGTTCCAATGTTAGGCATGCCCCCATAGCGAATCATCCCGGAGATTCCCATATACAATACCCAACAATACTTTAAAGCTATAGAGGACAATCTTATCAAAGCTGTTTAATTTTATCCCCTTGAATCTACACTGGAAATTAAATAACACACTCTAGCAAGCCAAAAGTTTTTTTACACAAAATTGTATTGTATTTTAATTGCCCTTTAAACAACCATAGCACCCAAGCCGCACTGAAACGACAGTAGGGAATTTCATAGATAAATACTTATTGACAAAAGCATGATTGTGTGTTATCTGTGGATTATATTTTTCAGATCTGTACTATATCACATGTCACCTCCACATTCAAATATTATAAATTAAGGAATAATTATATTATCACGGATAAAGCGTGCAGTACATTTTCAGATTTTCCTAAAGAAGTTTATTTTTCACATATTTTTGTGAACACTATGGCAACGGGGGGATTCGAACCCACAAACTTTAAACATTTGAGGTATTTACAGAATATTCAACTTCAATGTCATTATTCTGCGAGTACTGTGATTCGGTTCGGTAATGAAAGAGTGATTATGGTAATTCTGCCTGTGAAGAGCAAGAACGCTCTGAAAAATTGCAAAGAAGAAGTAAATGATCTGTGGGGTGCTTGTGCGTCTTGTTTACTGTTTTTGAATTTCGACCGTTAACATGGAAACTTTCGATACAAGTTAAAGAAATCGGCAAAAACAAAACTAATGATAACAATACAAACGTCCTTTGCATAATAATAATTCCGAGTTGAAAAATGGAAGATACCAGATTAACATTTAATGGTAGCAGTATCGACAATAAATTTACAAAAATGAAAAGACTCTTAGCAGCAATTCAACAATTTCTTGAATCCCGTGCCGAAGATCAAGCAATATTAATTAACCAATATTTGCAGGTAGGCTAGCAGTGCAAAATACAAAACCCCAGTTTTAACTCATTTAAATAACAAATCAATATAAATTTTGTATTTTAGGCATTGAGTTTATCTTTAGAGTTAACAATCTTTGATCCGCACACAAACATTGCTGGTCAGTTTTTCATTAGTTTATATGATTTGTTCAACACTTTGGAACCGCGGTCTCTGACAAGTTGGTACTGTATTGATGTATTGAGTAATGCATGCAAAAATACTTCAGCTAGGGAAAGTTTAATTAAAAATTATAATTTCATCCCTTGCCTGGCAAGGCTTATTGGAGATCACCTTACCACTGATAAAAAGACTCGTTTACTTAAACTTATGCAGGTAAGTTAGATCTTCCCACAGTAAGCTTGATATCATAACATCCTTTTTTAGGATTTATCTTGTGGGATAAAAATATCCTGGCAGTTTCCACACTTAACTCATTTAATGACAACTTTAGCTAGGTGGGTAGAAGGGTCTGAGCCAGAAGTCGTAACTCTTTCTCTGGCAGTGTTAGTAAATTTATGTTACAAAAATATAACTGCCATTTATACTTTACAAAGAAATGTGGACTTGAAGAAATTCGTACGGATATGTCTGTCTTTAAAAGTGAATTGTGCATTTTTAACTTTGTAGTTTATATGTCTTGATTTGTTACAATTTTAGGGACCAATTGTAGAAGTCTATGTTTGTCAAATTGCTATAATTCTTGAGACTATATCATGTTACATTCCTTGTGAAATAATGCCTAAATTTATTGACAGCACATTTATAGCAATAAAAGACGCTTTCACACACAGAGATATTGTTCTGTTGAGACAGGTGGTTGAGTTTTTCGTAGATAGTGTAAGAGGGTGTCACAATAATCCATTAAATCAATATAGTAATTGGGCCGAGAATATCAGCCAGATATTAGAAGTAAGTTGGTGTTTTGTTTTCAAATGTAAATTAACAACTCATTCGTTAGATGATTGAAGATAATACAAATGAACAAGATCCAGAATGCATGTCGCAAATTTTGGAGTTTATACATTTTTTGGCTGATCTCAAGGTACCAACACTGTCAAGTCAATATCCAAGACTCATAAGTTTCGCAGTCAAGTGGATAAATGAAAGTCCGGCATCTTTCCAAGCATTCGCGCTACTAAAAACCATTGCTGTGAATGCAGAGAAACAAAATAATGGTATGTTAGAGGCCTTGGTGGTAGGACTTCCTGTATTTTTGGCTTTACTAAATGAGGAATCTATGCCAAATCATGTACAACATCATAAAAGGTAACAGAATTTTTGTTGGTCCACTAGATTTAATATAAAAGTGGTTCATAGATTAGGTGCTTTACTTCAGCTGTTGAAAGCTGTGTTGCAAGTTAAATCAATTAGAGGGAAAGTACTGCAAGAGCTACATGAAGATTTGCTCTCCAAAATTTTCCGGCCTTTGTTGGGAGATGACTCTCCGGAATATAGAGACGATACATGCACTATTGAGGCTGTAAATTTATACATTTATGGTTTAGCTCTGATTGCCGAGTTAGTGAAATGTGATAAGAGTTGGTTAGAATTTTTAAACAGTTTACTTTCCAATAGGTAAATTCGATAAGTCTTATGGGTTAGTTTATGTTTTGGTTAAATTTATAGACAGATGCATATAATTCTTGCGCGCGCTATTTGCCAAAGTCCGACTCATGTCAAAAAATTAGCATTGGAATTGTCAGGCACTTCTTGCAGTGTAGAGGTGTCCCAGGCATTGGAGAAACTCCAATCTTTAGTGACAACTGTTAATAAGGAACCATGCAGTCATTCTGGAAATGGGGAGTTTGCTTTTAATCTCATTCCAGTCGCGCAAAATCAAAGGTTGGATGGGATTCTGGATAAGATTGAAGTAAAGTATATTTTGCCAGTCACTAATTTGAGGGAACTATTACTTAATTCGTATATATCAACCTGAATTTGTAAATTTATATGTGGGAGACAGGGTTAGTTTGTATAAACTAGTTGTTTTTGGTGATTCTTCTATGGAGGTGAAAAATATGTTTTTGGGCGCTTTTAAACTATATTTTGATATATGTAAGACTAATTATATACCTTCTTCTATACTGAGAAAAATCATCTCAACTTTTGAGCATTTTGATCCTTTAGTACAGGCCATTAAGGAATCTAATATTATAAAGTATTTGAGAGTGATGGTTGATAAAAACATTGAATGGGTTAATCCTTATTGCATCAATTTTATGTGTTACACTTTCTTTCCAAACAAACTATTACACTTATTAAAGAAACTTCTACAGGCGACTGTAATACTATTCACAAAACTTCTGGATTTCTATTGCGTCGGTTGTTGTTGAGTCGAACTTGCTAACGTTTCGCCAATCATCCCTGTTTGCTTCTTCAGTTGCAGTACCATTATACTAATACTTGTTCTTTTAGCAAAAAATTACTGTTAAAATCTCAACAATATATTTAAAATATCAATAATATTTATTATATACTACATCTCATAAATTTTAACAGAAACAGTTTTTTTTAAATGTTTTGAAAATAAACACGAAACATATCAATGACTTCTACAGGTGGCAAGGCATTTTTTTACAAATGAGGGCACCAAAATACACTAAAAATATGAATGAGATGTCAATATCGACATTTTCCTCTTTGCTATTTCGTTTTCCAAAGCACAGTTAAATTTTCAAAATTTCGAATTTTATGCTCATAGATGGGTATTATTCAAACATATTTATATTATTAACATTTAACAGAAACCAAACTAACCAAAATGCCCTCTAGCGGTGATACAAGCAATCTAAATGAATCCGCCCTGGGCGACGTTGATAGCCTAAAAAGCGCCCTTGTTAGAGACTCCAAGTTGGACAAAATGTGAAGCTGTTTTGAAGTTGTTGACATTTATTTCCTACAATGTTCGAATATCCCCACCACTTTCCCTTAAGGCGTAAATTAAAACAATTATCCTATTTTTGCTATGTATAATATAAGATTATTTCTCAAAAAGTGGAATTCAAGATTTAAAAACCGTATTACGCCCGCTGGCAGTCATTTTAGAAAATTGAAAATTTCCATCATCTTCTATTGGCCGCTTTAGTTATGAGTTTTATAATTACATACTTAGGTACTTTAGTTAAAATTATGTTTAAATGATTCAAATTTTACTTTACTGCGTACAGATATTTGCAGTGTTAGTACATTGTTTATCTATGTACATCGACTACAGGGTGGTCCATTTAACCATTTAAGATGCTCCTGTACTTTTTTTAATAAGTACGAAAATGAAAAAAAGTTGACCAACTTTACTTTTTTTAATTGGAATGTTGTGAATATTTTTAAAAATTATAGTTATTCGCTTGATTTTGAGTAAAATAGGTGTTTGGAAAAATGTTTTAGTACACTTGAAAACTAAAATTGGAAATTTTTATTGTGGATCCACGGAAGTAGTTATTATTTAATGCTTCGAAATATCTATGGCGAAAATATACTATACAGGGTCACACTTGTTTTTTTTTTAATTAGAACATCCTGTATTTAGCTAAGTTTTTTTTAAATACAATATAAAATTAAAAAGTAATGCAAGTTAGGAGAAGTACAATCCGTGAAAAAATATGTTTACTCAAAAATGATACAGACTTAAATCCCAGGGTGTTTCATTAAAAAAAAAGAGTTTTTTTAATTAGGAAAAAACATTTTTTGATGTTCATTTGTGATCATCCTGTATAACATATTTTCGACATAGATAGATAGGTCAAAGCATTACGTATTATCCACTTCCAAATTCCCAATTTTGTGTAAAGTGTAAAAAATAGAAAAGCTCATTTTTCACAAAAACTACTTAAAATTTCGTATGCTATGTAATGACATAGCATTATTTAAAAAAGTAAAGTTCATTACTGTCTTGTTCCAACCGAACATAAAAATGCTATACTTAGGACAAACTTTTTTTTTCCTCAATATCGGACTTATTGGGACAAGGTACACGAGCATCTTAAATGGATCACCCCCTACATGTATATGTATATTCAAAAACATTCTTCGAGACGAGTTCTAATCAACCATAACTATCAAACTACAGCTATCGTTCCTAAAAGTAATTGAGCTGTTAATCAGCAGACAATCTGCTTTCTATGTATTTAAGGAAAATTACAGTAATGAAGATATTTTCTAGAGCAGGCAAAAAAAATATTTTGAATAATTCTTGCACATTTTCTTTTGGTTTAATTTAGTTTTTTTTTATTTTAATTAAGTTTAAATTGTTGCAAATTATGGGCCTAAGTCAATTAGATATCCTAATAACTTATACTTATACTGTGAAATTGAAATTTTGTAATTGTAAAGTATTGTATCATTTCAGAGTAAAATAGCACGGAATGAAACAAAAGATATATCTACCTCGGAATTGATGGAGCTCTACAGTTATAAAATATCATATCTCACCCAAGCTGAAAGAGCTGCTTTGCTAAGCATTGACGCTTCTACGAAGCATTGTACACATCTTCAGCACCGGATTGAAAGACTGACCATTGAACACAATAAGCTCCAGCAGTCTGAATTTCACACGGTACAAAAGTTAGAAGAAGTTTTAAAGCAGAAGGAGGAAACTAATGTAATGCTTAGGGACTTGCAAAACAGGTTGCAAATGTGTTTAAAAAATTGTCAAAAATTACTGCATTATTATTTTTCAGAGTTGAAGCGGAGAAAGGTAAAAATAAGGCTTGCCTAAGCCAGCTTAAACTCAAGGAAAAGGCCCTTTCTGAAACGGAAGCAGTATTAGAAGAGACAAAAGCTAAATTAATAGAAATGACAAAAGTGAAAAATAATGTTGAAGAGCAGTTAAACAAATTGCAGCAGTTGTTCGCGAAGGCCGATGAGAACGGTAGAAAGTTGCAGAAAAATTTGCAGAAGAAGGAAGAGACGTTAAAGAAAGCAGAGTCCAGTATAGAGAATTATGTTTTGGTAAGTAGGTATTTGGGCCGTGGAAAAAATTATGACCGTCTATGATTTTAGCAAGTCAATGATTTGGAAAAAAGCCTAAAAGAAAAAATCACGAGGTTGAATGAAGTGCAGGCGCAATTGCAATTAAAATCTTCAATATTAGAAAACATCACAAAAATGGCCAATTCGCAAATGCAATTGTAGGATTTACGACTGTGCTAATTTTATTTTATAAGAATAAATTATGTGACTTATAGTTTCACCTTTTTTTATTATATATCTAAGTAAATGTCATCAAATGTAAAAAAATGGTTCCAAATTGAAATGTCATTTCAAAAATAATTTGCATTTTAGGAAAAAGCAGGGCGCCCCTTTTTTTTTAAATATATTCCATACAAATCTCGTTTAAGCGGTACAAAAACTGTAAATTAAAATATCTAAAGTGTTTCTTTTTTTTTTAATTTCAATACCCTTTATCTTGGGAAGGACGCGTTTCCGGGCATATTCGTATAGGAAACTATATATTATTTTCGAAGTAGAATCTGTCTTAAAAATTTGGTACATTAATTGCAGAACAGCCTGTATAGCAGCTTATTACCATAACAAAAGAAAGTAGAATGCGAGAGAGGAATATGTAATTAATAATTTGTAAAAAGTGTAGTAATTGATTAGAATCACCTTCAAAATCCGCTTCCACAAAGATTTGCTTTTATGACGTTGAGGTGTACATATAGATACAAAAAAAATGTGACTAAATCAGTAGAAATTTTTGGTTAGAATGGGAGGCTAAAATCCTATTGGAAGTTTTTATAAGACCATTACGTTTTTTATGGCAAAATTGTGCTTATTTTGTTCTTACTGACAGAGGGGAAAAATAGTCTTAATATTTGAAGAACGATTTTTTTTCGAAAATTCGCGGTTATGACTGTCAAAAGGTCGAAATTTGACCAAAACCTCCCAGAACTTCAATCCAAAATTAGTTCTGAAAACGAATGAAGTCACGGGTAGATGTGGTGCAATGTGCTTTCGTGATCATTGAGCATTCGTTGATATCGATCAATACAATACTATAATGGTCTTTTTTTGTGAGTTGCCTCCTGATCCTTGATAACTGACTAACAGAGAAATGCGGTTTTTTAAGAAAACATTTGGCTCATCAGTGGTTGCTTATTGCGTCGTACGTACAAAAATTTTATAGGGCAGCTTAAAAAAAATGCGCCTTACAAGTATAGTATGCAACACGTTCGGTAACCTTTTCAAGTCACTCGTTTATTTGACACGAGCGGAGCGAGTGAGTCAAATGCCGTTTACCACACTTGTCGCATAGTATACTATTCTAGAAACTGTTACATCCGGGAGTGTAATTAAATACAGAACCAAAACTGAACAAATTGAAATAGAAGGGGTTCAAATACCGAATAACACTCGCCAACGGGAATCTCATCCCCGAGCAGCAACCTCTCATTGCTTTATGTTGGTCCTCTGTGGCTCACTCTAGCGGAACCGCACGAATCTTTTTTAAAACGATGTTTTGGTCAACGGTTAGTTCACTATTTGCGAATAGATGGTGGTGAGGGTGTTCATTTGTTACAGTCTTCATTTGAATTTAAAATGAAATTTGAGAAAAGTCACTTTGATATCTACGTCTTCAACTATTCAAGTCCCGTAGATAGGACGATGAACATGAATTTGCGATGAAATGATGCAAAGGCAATATCGTTTTAAAACTATTTCAAAATTCACGTAGTCCCGTCAAATTATTCGCGGAAATGTTTACGCAAATTTCGGAACTCTGCGACGTGATATCCGTGTTGATTTATTGTCCCGCCGACAATAGCGTACTGTTAGTTTCGGAAAATAATTTAAGTGATCAATGGATTGCGAGCGTGAAAAGCGTGCCTAACTCGAGCTGGTCCGCTTTAATTACTAAAGAAGTTCGCGAGGTAAGTATTTATACCCTTGTTTTAATAAAAAACGCATCCACGTATCTCGCCTATACCGCAAAAATTTACTTTTGTTAACATTATGCTCATTTTAAAGCTGTATTAGTCGGTGGTGTATACCTTGTATGATATTGTACTAATCAAACGCAAAAATTCTTGACATAAGACAAAAGCGCGTTTTAAAAAAAGTCATATATGCTTAAAAGGATGAAGATCTTTCTTTAAAAAATTGTCAGCGTCTCTACCTGCTATACCATATTAAACAAAAGATCTTTTATAAATCTACTTCTACGTGGTGATGTGCTAATTCGTCTATCGACGGATAGATGGTGATGCTACACAAGTCATTCGGCGTAATTAATAGTCACTAGTTACACATCATTAATAATTTATATAACGTTTCTATACTCTTTCTGGTACCTGTTTTCAGCTAACTGATAAGCTAGCAATGCACTCCGCTTTTATAAAACGCATATTTAACGTTTCCATCACTGTGTGGATAGGTCTTAGTCAAGAATGTAAAATAAACAAAAATTATACAATTATTATACAAATTAAATTTTTCCATTAAAATATTTACATATATTAGTGTTACTTTCAACGTATATTGTAATGTATAAAGTAACTAAGTAAAGATAATTGTTCTTAGTATTTTGACTTTGATGTTTATAATGGGTTTGTGAGAATTGAATGTTGATTTAATTTTAGGGTTAATTTATGAGTTAAGGTGATTTCATTTTAAATTTAGATTAGGTTACTATATTGTAATATAATTGACTTAAATTATGAATACATTTTCCATCATTTACAGCATTTATTTTCTTTTTAATATAAATAATTTCTTTTACAGCCAATTTTTAATAATTATTACCTTATGTTAAAATTTTTAATTTATTTAAAATTAAATTTGTGGCTTTTTAAATTTTTGTGTTTTTGTAAAGCAGTTTTTAAGATTTTTGGTAAACTATGAAAGAATATGTTTTGTTTTTACAGATATTTGCTATTGCAACAAATTTTTTCATTTTTTGATTAATTATAATATGTTTTGATATTTAATTTGTATTTTAAAACATATAAATAGACAATTTCTTATTATTCTTTCAATTTCAATAGTTTAATTTTAATTAAATTATATATTGCATCAAAACTTGGGTCACTGTTGATAAAATTGGTCACACATTCGTTGGTAAAAGTTCTCTACATATTGATAATAATTATTACTTAATTCTTCTATATAATTTTTTGATAAAAGAGAAGTGTGATCTTTTAATATATTCAGTTTTTTATAATTTCATTTGAAATATTTGTATGTAATGGTACCAAGTGACTAAGTATATAATTTTCTGAAATTTTAATGTTGTTTGAAAGTAATAGAAGTCGAACTATAAAAAAATTAAATTTATTAAAATTTGTTGTTTAAAATTTCATTATTTCGTATAAAATGGAAATTGTCTTAATTCAAGGAAAATCAAATTAAGAATGCCATTGAAACATAGATTATTTTTTTATTAAGATCTTTATGCTTATAAGCAGAATCTTATAAGTTTGACTAATGACAATTTTTTTAAGTCTGTAGGTCTATGGTATATTTCTTGAGTGAGAACTAGGCATATTATATTTTTTCCACGAATATTAAAACAGCACGAATACATACATGTGACGTGTGACAAGACCATCGGAACTGCTAAATGTCCAAATGTTCTCAATGACTAAAATCTATTTAAAATATCCGATATTGTACCTACTTATTGTATATTTAATTATGCTGAATCATAATAATACAATTAACTACTTTAGCAAATGCGTTTACGAAACAAAAATGACGAGCACAACTTCGAATTGGTGGATTGTTAATTAAAATTTTGATGGTAGATTTTGGGAGTCCTTGATGCCAACATTGCAATTTTGCGATTGTCGAAAATATGGCTGCCGAAAACAGACTCAAGCGTATCCCTGATCCATTGTGTTTTCCACGTGGGTGTTGAAGTTGGAGTTAAAAACAAAACCAAAAATTCGATGGGTAAAGTACGTACGGAGGAATGTCGAATTTCAGTCCGTAATTTTTGAAGACTGGTTTTATTTCTAATAGAAGCTTTGTTATGAAGGGAATGTTTCTCGTTTGAATTTCACTCTATTCCGTTAATTTATTTTAAGTTATAAAATAAAGATCAGTGGTTTTAAAATTAAAATTTAGAAACATTGGTAGTGATACTATTATGCAGCCATCCGATGACCTATTAGAAGTATATGGAGAATAAGGAAATTTTTGCATTTAAAAATTCAAATGCAGAAATTTTTGAATATGATATCTATTTCCAAGATATATGTTTATTAAATTCTCAAACTTTCTAACAAACATATATGTATGTTGTAGCTTCCTTAATATATTTCGGAAATAAAAAATATTTTTAGAATATTTTGCGAAAATAATTATTAACCAATTTTGATTCAAATCTCAAATTTTGTATACGGCTTGCCAATGAAATTTTGCACATTTTGCATAATGTATAAATGTAAATTAAACGTGAGCTTTTAAGGTAACCTCTGTATTTCATTGCGGCATTAAAAGGGGGATTCATTCTTGATCTAAACGTATTATAAGAAACCACATCTATTTTGAATAATTATTTATAATAGATTACAATTAATCAACAGTTAGCAACCAAAAATTAAAGAGTAAGGCAAAGAGTTTCATCTATGTACTAATCTAACAAATTAGCATGCTACTTTTTAATAGTTAATTAGACTATAAGTTATGGTATAACAGTAAGTTGGAACACAACAGTAAAAAAAAAGAAATATGAGCATATACAGCAATATTAGAGTTTGTTTAAAATTATAGTTTAATTTACAGAAACCTATTTGAAAAATGTCCACATCACGCATTTCATTATTTATTTAGTTACACATTCTGTGCAATATATTATTTTGTCATATATTAGTGTAAGCTCTAGGAAATCCAAAAGTGATATTATTCCTTGTTAAATATGTAGGCACAATAAATCTTAATTCATTAATTAGAAAAGAACAATCTATTCTGCCCCAAACCAGTTTAGCAATTTTCCTTCTTTTTGCAAGTGTGCAAACACCAAACTCTTCAGTTAAAACGACATAGAGTACATCAAAATAATAAATATCATAGTTCTTATAATAAAGGTACCTCAAAAATTTCTTTTGAATCTTTTCTAATTCGTCTTTACATACATAATAGTACGGACTCCTAACATATGCATTATTCAATAGATTCAACGTTTCCTTATTTTGAAAATCCGAAGAATTTCGAACCACAAAGCCTAACATTTTGCAACCTTTTTTTGTTATGCTGTCTATATGTTTATTAAATTTATTAAATTAAATTTTGATCCGGAATCAAAAAGTACACCAAGATCCTTCATTTCCGTTTTTCGTTCTATTATAATTTCTTTCATTTTATATTTATATATGATAATTGATAATTGATCTTCTGCTAAATGTCATGACACAACATTTGCTGATATTGAAATTTAGTTTATTTGTTTCTGACCATTTGATTACTTCATTTAAGTCCTTTTGCAACAATTCACAGTCTTGTCTACATCGAATTTTTCGTAATATTTTATAATCATCGGCAAAAAGAAGATTAAGTGAATTTGCTGCAAATTGTGGCATGTCATTGATAAAAATGTCAAAGAAGAGTGGTTCAAGGTTCGAGTGAGCTGCAAAGGGCTCCGAAGAGGCACCCCTGTAAACCACATATTGTTTCCGGGAGCTTAAATATGAACTTGAGAGACTCAGAAGATCCCCCGAGAGACCAAACCCCGACAACTTCCGCAGAAGAACATCATGGCACACACGGTCAAATGCTTTAGCAAAATCAGTGTATACTACATCAACCTGGATATTCGCGTCTAGAGCCGAGTTAACGTATTGAGAAAAGCACGCTGAATTTGTCACAGTGGATCTTTTCGCCGTGAAGCCATGCTGCTCCTCCGCAAGTACCGGTCTGATATGAGCATATATTTTCTTATGTAAAATCGTTTCAAATATTTTACTTGGCGCGCATATCAAAGCAATAGGGCGGAACTCTTTTATATTATTATGCTTATTACTCTTTAGTATTGGACAGATTTTGGAAATTTCCAGATATCCGGATGTATTTGAGTTTTTAAAATTAATTTAAAAAGGATCTCTAGGGGTCTCACCAGAAGCTCCCTGCAAGCTTTAAAAATATAGGGCGGAATATTATCTGGTCCACATGATTTTTTAGGCTTTAGCTTAGCAATAGCCTCCAGTATGTGATCTTTCGCAATTTTGTTTATGGTTATTGTCGTATTTGTGTAAAGTCGTTCTTTGCAAGATTGTATGTAGCCGGCTTTTCTGAATACACACTTTTAAAGTAATCCGCAAAGGTTTGGGCTATCTCACTGTTGCCACTAATCTCTCTCTCCTCAAAGAACATGAAGTCCGAAGCAACCTCCTTGTGTTGTGCACAAGTTTCCAGAAAATTCCTACATCAGAGTGTATGTTATTATCAGCACATAGTATATACTGCGTGTACGCATATTATATATATATATATATATATATATATATATATATATATATATATATATATATATATATGTATATATATATATATATATATATATATATATATATATATATATATATATATATATATATATATATATATATATATATATATATATATATATATATATATATATATGCGTACACGCAGTATATACTATGTGCTGAAAATAACATACACTCTGATGTAGGAATTTTCTGGAAACTTGTGCACAACACAATATATATATACATATATATATATATATATATATATATATATATATATATATATATATATATATATATATATATATATATATATATATATATATATATATATATATATATATGATGACACTATATTCCGGGATATCATCCGTTCGCTCGTTGAACTCCGACTGGAATCCTGCATCCGACTGGAATCCTGCAAATCTTGCATCCGACTGGAATCCTGCAGACGTTTCGCCAAAATCTCACTTGGCATCTTCAATGCTCGCGAGCATTAATAAGGAGAGAAAAATCGCTACGACTGACGGTTAACTTACGACTACTCAGAACCAAATCAATCCGTATTATAACTTTGTATATCGTACTAATTTATTAAGTCTTTGTTTCAATATTGGTTAAATTTGGTAAATTACTTAAGTTGCACACTCTATTGATATTGAAATCTCCTAACATTATAAGCTTTACTAAGCTCAAATCTCGAATTAGGAGGAACGTAAAGACCACATAAGACTATTTCTACTCCTTTAATGTTAATTTTAATCCAAATATCTTCAACGTTTTTATCAGGCATTGAATAGAAAGTTCTTTGGAAATTATTCTTCGATTTATTGCAACAACAACTTCTCCACCGGTTTTTTTATTTGTGGATATAAGGTCCCTATCTATCCTACAAACGGTAAATTTATTGTCAAAAAACTCAAAATCAAACACTGATAGGTTAAGCCACGTTTCGGTTAGTACCATTATGTCAAAATCCTGTTGTGAAAGTGCAATTTTAAAGTCTTTTAATTTTGAAGACATCCCTTGAACATTTTGGTAGTAACAGGTAAAAACAAAAGACACGTTTAGTGCACGTCATTGAAATTGCTTGTTGAGTCTATTTTAAACACATTTTCACCTTCACACTTTCTCATGAAAATGTTCCTGTTCTTAACCCAGAAAAACTGAATATTATCAGATTTTTTAAACTCCCGACACTTGGTCCTGCGCAGTCAAAGCCTTGTTATGTATGTAGGCTTCCTGTTATCCCTGTCGCCAGGCCATTGAAAATCAAAGTCTTTCAAGGTCAAACTCCTATTAACTTTTTTCGCCTTAACAAAACTCTCCTTGGTAAGTCTGGAAACAAACCTTAAATGTATCTTCTTAGGCTCAGAGTTTGGTCTTTGATTTGCAACTTTGTAGCAAGCATCAATTTGGTTTTCATGAATTGGAAAGTTCAGTGCTCTGCCAGCTAAACCAATTGCTGCCATAAGGTTTTCTTCCTTGACCTCGGGAATCCCGCAAATCTCCACACTGTTGAGAAGGCTACATTGTTCGTGATAGTTTAATTTACCACGCAGTTCTGCGTTTTCTTTTTCCTATGAAACGCATTTTGTTTCCAACAGGGAAATTTTTTCAAGGCAATCTGTGATTTTTTTATCCTGAGCCTATATCATTGCATTTGTGTCCTCGACTCTACATGTCATTGTTAAGAACTTTAATTGTCTTGATTTCGCTGAGTATTTCTTTCAAGGATGGTTGTTTGGCACTTCCATGAGCCGTCCGATTTTTTGTCCTCAGCAGCTACACAGGATACATGCGCGATTTTTACACATGCTGTTTCAGCACATCTTAATCGCTGTCTTGAGCTGTAAACAGACACAATAAAAAAACCCTCTCGGACCGCGATAAAAACCTCGCACTGTCTTTCAACAAAAAATCGGGATATTTATATTTACGAGTGAATAACATACAATTGCATAATAGCGTAATGTTTTTTCTTTACGATTCTTCGTTCACCAGTTAAGTTATTACCTTACAATTTTCCAACGATCCCCTCAGATTTTGATTAAATACCAAGAAGTTCTAAACCCAACCAATATCTAACTAAATATACACTCGAGCTTGGTGAAATTTAAGTTTTTTTTTTTTTTGTAAAGAGGTACGAAAAAAATCTTCAAAAGACACCGTCATCGTAAACTCTGCCGCCCATCTTGCGGCAGATATCGATAGGCGGTAGTGTGGAGATTTTTACCCACTAAAAAAAACATTCCTCTTCCCCTCTCCACGCAGATGGTACGGGGAGGACTGGATTGGAACCGCGTTAGCATTACATCAATCCAGTCCGTGCTGCGCTCCATGGCGCCTACTCCTGGCTACTGGTCCCTTTCTGAAATTTTATCTTTCAGAAGGCGCTGTGCGTAGGTTGCAACAGCCGACCGGTTTCCCTCCTGTTCGATCATAGACGACACCAGACTTGAGGGGGA